TGTATGTGTGTATGACTGCAACTTGCATATCTCAAGAACAGCTGATCGGATCGTCTTCAGTCTTGGTGGGTGTATTGCTGATGACCCACAGGAGTGCTGTGTCAAGTGTGAAGCCAATCAGATGAGCGGTTCTTGAGAACTGCATAAGTATCTTAAAGCAGCACTAATCAGTATCTTTATTTTAACAATGGATCGACTTACTATGTGCAACATGAAGAACGTTGCTCATAGTGAGGAATCTACAGGGAATAATCACCTGACGAGTTCCCCACAGCTCTATGAAGCTTTTAGCGTTGTTTTGGTTTTACAGCACATTTACTGTTTTGGTTGATTCTCACTGTTCCTCAACATCAGCATCAATTCCAGCAGCAGGCAGCAGGCAGCTGTTTTCATCAAATCTCTGTACACTACCTGCCGAGCACCAGCTCAAACACAGTTAGAGACTAGCTGATGAGCAAAGTGAAGCATTTTGCAGCTAAAGAGTCAGATATTTTCCTCAGGAGTTGGTTGAGAGACAGAGCGAAGACAACCAACACTGCATTGGGGTGATCATGTTGCTCTATGTCTGCTGTGAAAATAGGATAAAGACCTTTTATAAGGTCCTTGATAAGATGTATGTTTTGTTTACAGCTTGTTGAGGTAAAAATCAGTTAATTCAGGTTTAAAATTAGATTTGTTTTTAGGTAAATAAAATGTAGATTTCGATCATTTTTACACTATTAGTACTTACTGTAATTTTAGGAAACAAGTTTTGGTCACAATGTTGTAACACTTCAAAGTAAGAGCCACAAGTTTAACATTGACTATTCATGAAAGGGTCAGGGTTTTTACACTAGACCATCTGCAGACATGTAGGTGAGATTTAACACAGACACATGGTGAACTTACAGGGGGCGTGGGAACATCCTTTGCTATATACATACATTTGTCATTTCAGGAAGAGCCACGAAGTGTATGCTAAAACTCCAGTGTATGAATGTGTGTGAATGTTAGTTTCTGTTTGAGCATTTAAGCTCAGTGTGTGAATGGTGAATGCAATGTAGTGTAAAAGCGCTTTGAGTGGTCAAAAAGACTAGAAAGGCGCTATATAAATACGAGCATTGTGTTTTGTACTTGAGAGTATTTAAGGAGTAAGATGCTGCGTGTCGGGAGAGAATCTTGTTGACTCTCCGGACGTCCGCATATCTTCACATCTTTTACTTCATACTTCTTCTTTGGGAAGGAATTTTCTTTCACATCATAAATGAAAATAAAATAGATTTAGTGTTGTCCACCAGAGTGTAGCATAGCTGGCAGTGAAGAGGGAATTTTAGAGAAAATGTAAATAAAAGTGACATTTAGTGATGTTTTAAATACTAAGATAATAGTACACAGTCTGGTTGGTGGCCTTTCTCAGGTGCACCCATGACCGCAGTATTTCTGAAATCCTGGCAATAGCCCTGGCTCTTTGATTGTTTTCTTGTAATCAAATTACAAATTACATTTTGTTGTCTCAGTTTTCATTAAGAACCAACTTGGATCTGTGTGAGGAGCAGCTGTGTGTTATAAAACAACACCAAGCATGTAGGGCTCAAAGGAAGGCAGATTAACATATTGTATCCTTGTGTGAGAAGCAAGGTCACCCCGCTCAATACATCATATCATCCACCACTGCTCCGTGAAACACTCCTGCTCCTCTTCCAGATGGCATTAACAGACAAAACCATCAGAGAACTTTCATTATTAACTACCTGCTCTGCATGAAACAGCAAATTAGAGGCTACGCCCACATGCACCGAAATATTCCCTTTTTTCTGGACGCTCAAATATTCCTTTTATGAGCTGCAGGATATAAACACCATGTGCTGGTAGAAATAACCTGCTCTGCTCAGTAGTTAGGAGGAATCTGAAGAAAGATAACTGAGATATTCTCTCACTGTCCAGCACCTGATACATCGAAGTATATCTGTCTGTTTTGTATGAGGGATCATATTTTAAAAACTGAAGATGAGGCCACATATAAACATGAGAAGGTAGCAATAAAGAAAAATACGCTCCTTGGAAAATAATCCACACTGATCTGTTATGGTAGAAAAATGTAAATTGATTTTATGACTGTCATGTATTGACTGAACAGGGTCAAGACAGGGTCCCTTGAGAGGAAATCAATTAATTTCATGAAGGTAACATCATATCTGCTTCAAACGGCAACGAAATACAAGTAGACCTATGTTTGTCTGATAAGGTAAATGTTTTTATGCTCTGTTCAGTATATTGTCGCTGGAATCATACAGTTATTTTCTTGTGACATATTTGAGAAACTGGCTTTAACATCTGCATAAAAGTTGGATGCGAACATGAGGCATCATCCTCATTTTTGTCGGGGTACAGGTTCCTATAACTTACATAACTCAAAAATGACAACACACCCGAAAAGACTGAGCTTGTTCATATCAATTAATACATGTCACTTTCCTTCAACCACCTCCTCCGTCAGTATATTCACAATGAACGCCTCAAGATGCTTCAAATAAAGGATTGTGTAAAATTGTCTAAGTCTAAGAGAATCCAAAACTATATTTCCGATGACGGAATCAGAGGTTATGTCCAAATATTTTAGTTAATTTCTGAAACAGATAATCTGGCACTACGTGGTAATTGGCCAGTGTGTTTAAGCTCCCTTTTTTTCATTCTTTACACAACCACTTCCACCACTTTTTGTTTGTACAAATCAAGTACAAAACAACGAAAGTCTCTGGGGAGAGTCTAAAAGAGAGTCCTTGTATTGGTTTTTCAAACTAAAATAAATGCCACATGAGATTGTTAACTCCTCTTATTGGTTAGATTTGTCTGGGGAGAGAAAAAGTAAACAAAGGAAGAAGGTCCTGAAGAAGGTCCTATCTGCCCAATTATCAGGCAATATACTTCTTGTTAGTGCAGGTCAGACCTCATTTCATTCTCTGGGTACCTGCTAACTTTTTCTGTTGCTCATCTGCATCTCAAGCATACAAAGCAGACCTGCGGGAGATGTTTTGCCCAAATTTACAAAGTATGATTTGTAGTTGGGTAAGATCGAGGTTGGACCACCTTCCTACTGCAAACAAACAGCTCCAGAATATGTTTGTGACCAGACCGACACCACGTTCTCTAAAGGGTCTCGGTGCGGTTGTTCCGGTCTGTGCCTGAGTACAATTGCTCTGTTCAGATTTTCCCAAACAAACTGCACCAAAGGGAAAAGAGAACTACAATCCAATTCAGCCGGACTAAACAATGCAGGTTTGAAAGCACCCACAGGCAGTTTTGCCTTTAAATGTTGTTGAAAAACATGTTGTACAAACTAGTATGTTTGAAGAACACTGAGGCTTTGGGGCAGACTTTTTCTCCTGTAAGATCTAGAAAGCAGCAGCACAAATTGCTCCTGTACAGTCTGAACAATTGGTTGCAGTAAAACTGCACATTTTCGTGTGGCTTTTTATTGTGGGCAGCCTAAGGCAGACACCTGTGAGGTGGATAGATTATCTCGGGATGGGTAAAGTTCTCACTAACACAGATTTTGACAGATTTGTGAACAATATTTGAGAGAAATAGGCCTTTTGTGTACATAGAGAAAGTCTTAGATCTTTGAGTTCAGCTCATGATGAATGGGGGCAAAAACAAAAGCGTTTATAATTTTGTTCAGTGTACAGCTGTGAATGTTGACACTGTTCTCGCCAGAAAATGGCAGCATTTGTTGTCTGTTAAAATACTTTAAATGGTCCTGTCCTCCCAAGAAAAGCAATGGGACACAAAGTTCTTATGTTAACCCAAATCATGCTATAGCAGTGTCAGCTTTTTTGAGTCTAATCTTAACTAAATCATAATATGCATGAATTTTTCACAGTGATTTCTGAAGCTTTTGAGAGGCACAGACAAATTATGTTGTATGTTTTTTTTAAAAACCCAAACCACAATCTGTCTTTGGAATTGTCCATCGTCTCAGTTTAAACTTCACCATAGGCCGTCAATTCTTATTTTGGAGCTGATGTTCTGGAGTCATTAACCATGTCCTTGGTTTCATTTACATTCAGGACATGTCACACCATTTCTTTCAGCCTGTCCTCACCAGAAAAACGGCTGTATGGGTAGATTATTATATAGCTTTTAAGGACCCATATTGACGTTTTTTATTAGGCTGCAACCTCTAGTGGAAGAAGAAGTCAGACGACGTAGAATAAAGAGTGACAAAGTCCATGTAAGTAGAGTGGTGGGGTGGATGGATGAGTCAAGTAAACTCATTACTTTGAGTTTGAGTCCTATGCAGAAGAAAGTCAAAATGTGACATGTTTTAAGTTACATTTTGTAGATATTTGAACCCAAACAAAGATCTTTTATGATGTGATGATGTTATTATCATGTGACCATGTCCAGTACGCCTGTCTCTGGACTGGTACAGGAAACTCTAATATGTGTCGTTTTGGGGGATGGACATTTATGTTGTTGCTTTTTCAAATGGACATATATTTTGTTTTGGAAATGGTCTTATATGTGGTTTTGGGGAACATGACAATCAACCTATTTAGTCATTTAGGTTTGAGGACGTGTTCTTTCTTTACAATCAGACGTCCTTACAGCCACAAAACTACCTGCTACTGAAGCAACATCTGTCTAATCTCAGATGGATAAGATGACTATTGCTGATCAATTAGAAAACTTTGTGACTTTATATTTTATATTATATTATATATTTTAATTGGTATACATTCTTATGTAGTAGGTTCAGGTAAACCCTTGAGGTGAGCCAGTAGATGAAAGAGGTAAATTTAAAAGATTTAAGTGAACATAATTTTCTCTGCAGGTAAATGTGGCTGAATAGTGATAAAGCAGATGACAATACACTTCTGAGAGCTCCTTAAAAACACAGAGTCTATAAAAGAGATGTGTATATATCTCTTTTTGTTTTTCCCATGGTTTTCCCTGGGCTTGAAGAACAGGTGGGGAGCGGCAGGGAGTGGCGGAGATGCCTAATGACGGTCATAACTCACCTCTCTCCGACGCCGGGGCCAGATCAATGAAGCTCCGACACTTCTCACCTGAGAGGGGAGGGGAGGGGGGTGGAAGGGAGAGGTAAAGATGAATGTAAAGAGGAAAAGAAGAGGGGAAAGGTAAAGAACGCAAAGTGAAATGCGCTGGGAATGAAGGAGAGATAGAATGAGAAAATGAGAAGGGAAGATAGCAGTGAAAGAAAGATGTAGATGTAGAGAGGAGGGGGTGATTAAGGAGAAGGATGAAAGGATGAAAATAAATGCACAAGGTGGAGAGAAAAGGATAAAATGAGTGTTAGTGTCAGTGCATCAAACCGATAATACAAGCTGTTAATGCGTCAGGCTGGCAAACACGACTCCTGAATGTCACTTGGCTGTTATTCTACACATCAACACTTGCAGATAATATTCTGCTGACGGGATGTCAGGAGCTTGTCAAACATTATGTGACAACACTATATTCATCAATGATGCCAGAAAGATATTAGACTTAACCACACTAACCGTCATTTGGTCGAACCACCACTTTGATCCAGACTGAAATATCTCAACGACTATTGCATGGATTACAATGAAATTTGGCTTGAACATTTATGTTCACCTCAGGATGAACTGAAATAACTGTAATGATCCACTGACCTTTTCTCTAGCACCATGATCAGGTCAACATTGACCAATACTATACGACTATGACCAAATACCTGCAAAACTAATGACAACCCTGTGGCTTAGTAGTGCTAATTATCAAATGTGCAAATGTTGGCATGCCAACACATTAAACTAAAATGTTGAATATGCTAAACATCGTAACAGCATACCATGCATAGTGTGCTAACGTATAGCTCCACAGAGCGACTAGCTTGGTTTTATACTTTTTCTTTTCTTTTTTCCTTCAGGCTTTATTCTTTTGTATAATTCACTTGTTGGTGATCTTTCTTTCTTTGTTTCTCAGGCGTATTTTTTCACTCCTGATTGTTGATATCATGAAATGTCCATTAAAAAAGAACTAATTTGTGTGATCCGTGCTACAAACAAGGCTGACTGCAGAAATACGTCATCAGATCAGTTGTCACCAAGCGGGAAGCTTCCGGTCAGCGATCTGATGCAAACGCGGAAGTTGCTGAAACTTGCATTCTATCGAATGGCCAGCAGGGGGCGACGCTTCTGGTTGCAAAAAGAAGTCCATTGGAAATGATGGTAAAATGACCCTACTTCTCACCTGAATAATTATCTCAGTAAACACTTTCATAATGAGTTTATGGTCTCGATAGTTTGATGTCTTCTTCAATATAAATTTAGTAAATAATGGTCCCATTTCTTTTAAAATAGACCATAAAGCAGAATACGTTTCAGGGCGGGATTATCTATGATTGACAAGTCGTTACCATGGTGACCTGTCAATCAGGCTAGAGGCGACTCGTACCCACGGCACTGTGTAAATTTAATCAGCGCCGCTGAAAAGCTTATTAGGAGTTGGCTGTTCACTTTCTCTCGTGAGTACATTAAGTTTTAAGACAAAATTGTCAGCCCTGTTAAAATGACAGTTAACATGAATTACAGATAGGCAAGCTAGCTAGCTCCGCACACGGCCGTTAGCTCAACCGTCTCGTCCAAATATGGTCACGTCTGGTGCCACTGGTTGCAAAAACTCAACGTGGCGGCGCCCTATCGGCCAAACTCGAGGCTTCAGAAACAGCAGTTCATAAACCAACGGGTGATGTCACGATGACTACGTCCATTTCTTATATACAGTCTATGGTTGTTACATTATAAAAATCCTAAAGTGTCCGGAGTGACATAGTTACTTTACAGTAACTGTCACACATTTTAATGTCACCATAACTTGTAAATTATCAGTGTTTATATTTAGTGGGTTTATCAAACTTCATTATATTCACATGTATAAAATACTCCAATACCGTATTTAACAGTGATATCATTGTTCTCACGTAATATTAGTACAATATTCATGTAGGGAGTGTTTTTGCTTAGTGCAGTATCATCTTGGCTTTCATTAGCTGTTTTCTGGCACTCTAAGGCAGCAGAGAGTTTATCAGAGCTCGGTGGGACCATGCAGGTCGCAGTTCAGCGGCCACAACACGAGCCATAACTCAGCCTCTGCAGTGTCACAGGCAGCAGGCAGGCCCATCCATAACCAGCCTGAACACCAACACCCTCACACTGAACTCCCAACAAGCCTCCCCCAAACAACAGATGAAGATACTCTTGTTTGTCTCCTGGATACTGAGGATAATTTAACTTTCAGAGGCTAAAATAGACTCGATCTAAAACTTGAGTCTATGGTGAAAACTGCTGCGAAATTCAACAGATATTGTCACTGCTGTTTACCCAACTGTGTCTGCTCTTTCCGATCAGATAGGAAGTGCACAAAATCAGCAGTACTGTGTGTATATATATATATATATATATATATATATATATATATATAGTGACCAGCTCTAGGAAGGACTCTCTAACAATTAAATCTTTCGTAAATCAGATTGCTTTCTCTTTGTGTTTGAGTTTAATAGAAATATGTTGCGGCTCACACATTTTTGTACAAAGCAGTAATGTGTCGTTCATATCGTATGAGAGGAGAAAGATTCCTGTGTGACTTGGATGTTGACGTGAACAGAAACAGATAATTATGGTAACTCCCATATGACATGAAGACGGCACAAGTGACGGTCCAATACCCTCTAGTAGACTTTTGTGGGATCGACCGCCCATGGGACTCGTTCTGTCCATACTACCCAGCATGCATTGTGTGGTTGCAAGAATCAGTTGTTGGATCTGCCTGTAGCCTAACTGTAGGTTCACAGCTGTGTCAAGATTCATCTTTGAACAGTGTTTTGGAGTCTGCAGAAGAGGGCAAATGTGCTTCATCTTAAATCTTCATTTAAGTGGCCACATGGTGTGAAGACAGAGTGATGGAGCACCTGGAAAATTATTATTGAGTTTCCTTCCCCTGGAGATGATTTGACCCTTTCACCTTCCTGTTCAGCTGTCCATCATCCCCTCCTCAATTTCTCATTATAAACAGAGGCGAGCTTCAGTGCCAGATTTACAGGTTGTTTGACGCAGTACTGGTCCAGCCTTTGCTGCCTGTCTGTTGCTTGTCCAACTGTTGCTTATGTCCTGCCAGTCTGCTGATTCTTCTGTTTGTTTGCCTGATTCCACCTGTCTGACAGCTGAAGACTGTAATCTAAGTAAACCACCTTTCACCATCTGATGTGTCAAAATGATCTAGTATTCGAGTCATCCTTCTTGTTTGCCAGTTTCCCAAACTTTACCTACACTAAAATTAAAATCTAATGTCCCCAGCTAAAAGTTGGTCTATGCCCTCCCTGTTATAAATGCAGCATGCTGTTTGACAAATACTGCAGAGAAACTCATCCGAGGTAGTTATAATTCATGTTTTCCAAGGTTAAAACTCAAGGGAAATGAGTAGGGAGTCGGGGAAACAGACGAATGTGTACCTGACGACAGTGAGCTGCAGTGAAAGTGTGCCACAGCCAAAAGGTGAGCAGCATAGCGTCTGATTAGGACGTGAATCTAAAATGTAATTAAAGAGTGAGCGGGCTTGTCTGTGACCTGATGACAGCACTAACTAACAGCACAATCAGTATTCCTACACCTTCCCACTGCACATAGGAGACAACGGTCCTCTAAAATGTAAATTAACCAAAAAATCCCAGTTATCACGCTCCTAGTCTACCTAATGAAATAGATTCATTTTAAAGAGGCTTCAGGTGGTTTTCTTTTCTTGTATTTCTAGTTCACACTCCCAACTCTCACTTTCACACCTCTTATTCATTATTCCCCCTGCCCTGCAGCCAGCAGCTCTGCAGTCTGTTTAATCTGTGATCCGATGTCATTCTGGGCTAATTGCAGCTGTAATGAATATGAATGGTTTTGTGAAACAACGGCTTACGTATCATTACTTCTACGGTTATGACTCTGTCCGCTTCATTCAGCCGGATCAGACAGAACTCACTTGAATAGAAGGAAAGGGGTCAGACTGCAGTCTCATTTGATGAACCTTGATTTAGGGCCCTTTCACATCTTTAAGTCTGCACCAAGGTCCGAACCAAAGTTCATGTTTTGATTCATGTGGTTAGTTTTGGTTTGGTTTCACACTGCAATTATGCGAGCGCACTAAAAAAACTTTACCTGACATATTTGTACGTCGCTGGGGGCTGCGTCCACCTAAACTTGACATTGATTGGTTTGTAAACAGTTCTGCTTTGACAAGAATGAATGAATGAGGAATAAACAGATGCAAATAGTTGCTATACTTCAGTTTCCCCAAATGAACGTCTTCGTTGGGCGGTAACATTATATCGAGAGGTTTCGCACCTCTAATTTTCGTTCGGATCAAACTGAAAAGTAAGTCTGAACAAGGTAGGTGAGAAAGCCATGCAAAAAGGTATACTTCACTTTTTTGTGTCATTGAATTTACAGCTTTTAGAGCAGCAGTTCACCGACTTGTCATCACACATCTGATGCCCTTGGTGTTAGTTACTTATGTCCGTAGAGCTGCTTACAGCTGCTCAGGTTGGTTCAGGTTTGTTAATTAATTTACATTTTCATCCCAAGTTTGGTCATGTCCTCACACTTAAACGACAGAGTTGGTAGATTGCCCGTGAGTCCCAAAGCAACATTTATGAACACTGGAAAGTAAAGGTGGCAGGCATACAGGACCTTAAGAACATAACTGACGTGGCGTTAAATACTTATGTTAGTAAGTAACTTGATGTAACGTTACACATACGTAATACTATGTGAATATAAACAAGTCGGCGTTGACTTCTGGTTTTACACAGATTCTGGGAGAAAGTCCTGTGTTTGTTTGACCGAGCCATCCTCCCTGACCGCGTCCCTTTACAGACATTCTCGTACTTCATACTGCTCCTGTCAAAAGGTAGTATAAAGTGCGAGAAAGTCTGTAAAGGGACACGAATACTAACTAACATAACTAATTCAAACCACAATCTTTTCCTAAACCTAACCAAGTAGTTTTGTTGCCTAAACATAATAAAAAATGA